AAGCGTTTTACAAAAATTATTTTTACCAGTCGATAACCCGAGAGGCGCTCTACAAAATGTTTTTTTTAGGATGATTCAGATCGGACCCTTAACTTCGCAAGAAATTACAGTTTTACCAGTAAAACCAAAAATTTGCGGTTTTTTGTAATTTCGTCACACTCCGTAAAATTGCTCTGGAACCTTGACATCAATTCCGAGAAACTTTATTTTTTTACCATAGCTGGAATTCAAAAAGCTGCGTCGAATGACGCTAGAATCAACTTTCTAGCTCGTGTGGTTCGCGAAAAAAACTAGAGTTTTGTGAGTCAAAAATGTAATTTCGTCACGTTTGGACAAGCTGTAATGTTAAATCATGCACATCATGTTTAAATACTTCCAAAATAATTGGCGTCGAAACAACATTGAAAGCGGTACCAGTTAATTCATCTGTTAATATAATAACATATTTATTTATATCATTGAAATCGGTTAGTTCTATTTTATCTTGTCCTATGCGATGGACTGTTGCATATTCTCTAGCGTTCGAGTCAGACAACGTAATTCTAAACGGACCTGAATTAGATAAAGAATAATTATGATTTAGTAATGATAATACAAAAATCAACTTACATCTGGTACAAATATTCTGAGCTCGAGGTAACTGAATACCAGAGAGTGCTTCTAAAACTGATGATTTCTCTACCTAAACAGAAGAATGAGTTTTCTATTTAAAGATGCTGAAAACAGCACAATTCGCTTACCTACTGATCACCGCAAACGACAATTTCTGGTAATTTAACTTTTTCATGATGGAGAACTTCTCGCATTTGATCAACTGTACTCAATAAACGACGAGCATGTGTACTATTGAGCTCACTAACTAACACGATGATAAAATCTTGTTTTAAACTATAAAATACCAATAGTTTAGCATCTACAGTAAGTGGGAATTCGCGATAGAATCCACTTGAAAAGTTAAAATGCTATGAGCTTTTTTTAGCGTACATAAAGGTTCTCTCAAATATGATCGAAATGGATAGATGCGGTGTAATACACGCTATATATTCCCCTGACTGTAAGTCTAGTATTGTATATTCGAAATTATTCAAAAGATGTTGGTGTCCGGCGACAACAAAAATAATGGGTTTCCTATCAAATACAGTAGTATGAAAAGAACCTTTTCAGCTATGTTTTTGAGTAGAAGCACGCACTAAAATTCTTGTGTCTTCTGCCATCCAGCAGAAAAATTTGCATATCGGCCGCCGACAGACTTTCATACTCTTAGCATACCCGAAAGGCTTGTTGTCAAGGATGTTTGAACGTTACTTGTGGCGAAGTTAAAGAAAATTAAGTTCAATCCCATAAACAGAATATAATCAATAACTTCAGTTGACTAGTCCAGCTAACTCTGCTACCAGAGTGAAACTCAATTACGATCTTTTTGTTATTATGTTTCTCTTATAAGTTCGAGCGGCGAGGCGCTCCGAGCTCTGAAACGCCTCAGAATAAAGTGAAAAGTGTATTAACATTTTGAGATATTCTCGTAGCCTATGTTCTTCTGTTCAAAGACTATGATGAAAATACAAACATCTACTATTTCGGATAAAT